CTTTTTCCTAAATCTTAGAAAATATGATCATGAAATGAATGAAGTCCTACATTTTCAAGTATTTTTCCTTCTATAAAATTATTTAATGGAAAATTAAATCCTGATTGAAGATCCTATTATATTTTATATGTTCTCAAAACCTTAATTTTTAGTATATATCACTAGTAAGATCCTCAATAAGAGAAAATAATTTGAATAAACCTATAGTGGTTTTCATTGTTTATTCAGAAAATAGAAGATCTTAAATTCTACAATATACAAAAAACCCCCTCCATCTGCAAAAGCTCACATTTTCTATTTTGTGTATTTTTATGCATCATTCTAATTTTTCATTCTTTAATGAGCACATATCCAATTAAATCCAATCTGTACCTATTCTGTTTTAGGACAATCTGAGCACAAATATCAAGTATTACTCTCAACTACCTGCCCAAAGAGAAAAGGAAAACATATTAAATTATATCTCTGTAGACACTAGTACTTTGACAAAAATGAATACTCTATATAGGCACGTTAAAGATGTAGACTATTGGAATGTCAGGATTTTACTGGGAGTAAGATTTCAGATCTGGAAGATACAGCTTCCATATGACCAAATCTCCTATCTCAAATTTCATATAAAATCCTATGTATGACCACAGACCACATAACACAAACTGATAGTGAAAAAAAAAGTGTATATATATATATATATTATACTACAAAGTGTTACGTGCAAAATATTTTGGAATATGCCTAATTTACTTTTAAAAAAGATTAGGGGGAAAAAAAGGAGGTCAGCTTCCAGTGATGAGGGATCTAATCCAGACAACAAAGAAGTCAATGGGAATCTTCCCATTGTTTCTAGTGAGATTTAAATTTGACACTGTATTAGAAAAAGGGAATTACACTCAGAGCAAAATACTTCTTTACATATGTGTGTGTGTGCGTGTGCGTGTTTGTGGGTGGGTGATGGATGGGGAATGTGTGTATATATATGAATACACAATCATACATATATAAACACACATAATTATCATTGTTAATTATAAGAGGGTTAGCAAGCAGTACAAGCAAAATGACTCTGCCTTTCAGGCAAGGCTAGTTTACTATTATTAGGGTTTTGTTTTATTATACTACCATATACACTTTCATAAATATTGCTGACAAAGTTAATATGCAAGAAAGGAACATTTTTCTTACTCCGATCGAAGATGCAATAGTCAAATCATAAAACACAAAACCAATAGCCAATCAATGTGAATAAGTCTGCCCATAGGCTTAATTCAAGCAAGCCATTCACTGAGCTATGTGATGGATCTGTCAAATCCAATACAGCATTACAGACATACTAGCAACATCAAGTGAACATGCAATGACAAAATGACAATACGCGCCACTGCCATGCTTTGACTTGTTCTACCTCATAAATATAAAACTTGATGACTTTGCTAGTTTCTCTTGCTTCAGACTTGAACAGAAATCTAACAACTATATTTTTATTATTTTTTTTAAATATTACATGAAAGCTGAATAAAAGCTGTACAAATATTTTACTGACATCTGATTTAGTGTCTTTTGCACATCCTTACAATTATTTTTTCCAAACGCTCTCAGTTTAAAGACTTTGGCAGGCAAAGCTCCAGAATTGTAAAGAACATATATAGACCAGTAGGTCCCCTTTTATCAGTCATAAGAATTGGAAAATTTATCAGAAATATTTTAAATATTGGAAAGTTAAACCTGATTTTTTTGATCCATCTCTGCAAAGAACTTCAAATCTTTAAGTGCAACTTAGTATGATGATAGATCACACAGTGTAAAAATCCAATTCTAATTTTTTTTAAAGTTGTATTCAGTGATTATATTGTGTAATAAATAAAATAAAATGTACCTTATTGTTAGTTTGTTTTGTTGTTTATGTTTTACAATCCTAAGAAATTACTGGAGAAAGCTGCAAGGTATTCACCTCCATTGTGAAATTGTTTTTAGGAGTACATGATTTAAGTACAAGTCTTAACAAATACTTAGGGGTTTGCATTGATTTGTTTTGCGAGATTTCCTTGCCACCTGATTCTCCCATATATATCCGTTCTTTGCCTATTTCCAGCAATATTTCCAGCTATGACAAACAAGGATACCATTGCATTTCTTCACAATAGAGCTCTCTTACAGAGATCATTATCCATTGACTCGGTGTATTGATTCTGGAGTCCCAAATCTTTCTGTTAACCTTTATTTTTAATTTACCGAAACATGTCTCCAATCTAAAAATTTCCTCTTTCCATCTCCTGACTTAAGAAGCATGTCAAACATGGAACATTGCCATTCACCATGTATATGAGCTGTGATCAAAAAAATAAACCTTTTTTTTATTTTTTAAATTAATATGAAGTAGTATTTCCATGATATGCCACTGCTTCAATAGTACCTACTCACTGGTCCTCACTTGATTATTCTGGGCATTGTTTACACATAAACAGTAGATATATTTCATGTGTAATTAAATTAAATAGGGGCTCAAATCAACACTAAATAAGAGTAGTGTATAAGGAGATATGGAATCTTCAATGTTGTCACAGGACAGCAGATGATTATTACATTAAAAAAAAAAAGATACAAGCAGTTGTAGTGAACTATTTTCAGCACTTCCAATATTAGCAATTCACAAAAGTTGCTAAATTAAATCCATTAAAAAATGAATGAAAAGTTAACCAAATTAAGCAAACTGTAGTTGTGAGTAATCAGAGGTATCCATGTTTGCACATAGTTTCCCATATGCAAAGAAATGTTTGAGCAGATTGTTATTTGTTTTGTTCTCTGTGCTACTTTTAGGATTCCTCCATAAAGAAATTCAGTTACAATATTCGTAATTAAGACAAGAAACCATATTCATTTGGGGGAAGTAGATCGAAGATGAGGGTTAACCACATTTAAAAAGAGAAACTAAATTAAAAAAAAAAAATTCCAAAAGATATAAAATTCATTTAAGGTATTTCAATTATGCAAGCAAAGACAGGTTATTACAATTCTAATTATACACAAAGTGTATCTGAAAATTAGACATTTTTTAAAAAAATAATTAAGGGTTGTAACAACTGCATTACTACTGATGACATCTCAAGCTTCCTTTACAGCATTTAAGAGCACTATCTTCTTAGACAAATCTTTTACTTTTTTTGTCAGCATAACTCTTAGTGATGTTGACTCTCTACCCAGAGCAGAACATGTGACCAACTCATGTTTTATCTTACAGCATTTGATTTGTTTTATGAGAAGGTACATTAATTCATTATTAAAGCATTTAAAAGTCATCTTGATATTGTTCAGTTTCTCTATGTAACGTATATGTTTTCAGAAATTCATTTATTCATAGGAATAAACACCCTATAAAATGATCCAGGGACACCTGAATTATACCTGGCAAAAAAGTGACTGACCACAGGAGTTTGTTTATAGTTTTGTCCTTTCAGTTTAGTAAATTTTTAGAAGCAGCAATTGTTTTGCATTATAAGCTCACAAAAAAATACTAGAGCTGCAACATGCTAACACACCTTTGTGGAAATGAAATGAAACTACTGAGTAGCGCTTCACCTTTGTAGGTTACCCTAAGTAGAAAGAGTACATCACAAACAAAGTGCATACAGCACATATCTAGTTGATATTACTGATCCCAAATTAATAGAAAGTAACTTGCTTACCTGTCTGACACAGCATGCCTCAGCCATACATGCAAATTATTTTATTCACATAACTTTAAAAAAATATATCTTCATTACCCAGAATAAGCATTTGAAAGGCAAATACGCATGCATAGCATTGTAACATTCATACCATGGTACTTTGTTCTAAAAATACAGAATCCATGAACAGCACTTCAATCTAAGAAATAGTTCACTGAAATTTCTTAATCTGTTGTTTTCTTTAAGAAAAAGAAACATTTAAAACAATGTCTAATTTAGCATCTAAAGAAATTTTTCAATACATATTCATGACTTAAGAGATTATCTCCATGATTCCAAGAGAAATTTTTCTTATATCAGGAATTGAGAAGTGTGACCTTACTTCTCGCTGCTCTTGTGAAGCAAAATATATGCATGTATCTGTCTTTCACAATATGTATCCTCCCTTTATGACTGTATACTCTTTAAGTACTTGAAAAGTATTAAAGACAGCATAGATTTTGTTAAGGGTACAGTTTATGAAGAAAACATAAGATATTCTTTCTTTTCATTATAAAGTCATGTCCACACACTGCAAAGACTTAATTTTATGCAATTTGACAACATCCTGTTCCTACTGAAGTCAATAGCAATCTAGACATTGACTTCAAAGGAGTCCCGATTTTCATCTTGCAAGAAGATAAGGTAATTATGTGACATCGCTTTTAGTTATAGAAGTTAAGTCTTTGCACGTTTCTCTTATGCAGATCTTAATAATCTTTTATTCCTGGCATTATTTCCACCAAATGTGGTTTACATTTTGAGGATAAGAATACAGAGCAAAAGAAGAACAACTGAATTTTTTTCAGTATTTCAAAAAAATCAAACGCCTGGAAAGAAAGCAAATGGAAAAAATACTGTTTTGCCTTGGATAGTTCAATCTTAGACACAGCTCACTCTCAATTTCCATGGACTAAAACAACGTCAATGAGAATTGAGGGCACTCAATAGGTTCAGGTCCTAAATCAACTGAAATAATACTCCTAAGACGAATAATGATCTTTAGTAGCAGACCATCATGAAGCTGTACATATATTTATCTACATTGTACAAGGGTCACAGGCATTAACTGGATGATCTACAGCTTGAGAATGTGCACATCTCATGCCTGATTCTCAATTAAGGTCTAAAATCTCTCAATTTATGGCTATTCATGGATTATAATAAAACAGCCTGCTTTAGATATCACAATTTTCTGCAGAGCAACAAGACAGTTATGAGACTTCAACAAGGCAAATTTATAGAATCATCTTCAACTTCCACTGGTCAAATATTTATTAGCAGTAAATGAGGTCTTACCTGTCACTGTAGGCAGCTGCAGTGGCAGTGGCAGGCTGGGCATACCGGTAGGCAGCATAACCACCCTGAAACACAAACTCACGCTCTAACTGGATTGCTACAGCACCTTAAATAGCATTTTGCAAAATTCAGCAACTGAAAGAGTACTGTCATGCCATAAGTCCAGTTCTGGGGTTAAATACATAGGAAATATTTCAGTGAATCGTTAAGCAAAATTTATAACCACAAACTTGTACTTGTTAAGATTTGTCCCAGAGATCAGGAGAAAGCAAAGAACTGTATTCATCAACGTAACCTTTTTTACAAGACAATACTTTACTCTTCTACAACTTTTCAAGTAGCAGTTGTTCTTATGAATGAGGTGTATGTATAATAATAAAGTGATGCTGAACTTAAAAGAAAAACTGAGCTAATAATTTTTTTTTTGTACAAAATATGATTTATCACGTCTGGTTGATTAAACCTATGAATTTGTGCACTTAATTAACACTTAATGTTACATAGGTTTCCAATTTATACATAAAACTATAATGAAGCAGCAAAATTCTCTTCTTCCATGAATTAACATTCAGTTGTATGTAACAGTAATTGCAGCTGTTCAATTAAGCAAACAGGACAAACAAACACACATTTGAAAGGAATTGTGTGCAGTGATGCATTGATTATCAAACTGTGAAAACAGCAGAGCTTCCTGTTCAATGGACCACGGTGTTATATCAACCATTTCAAAATGATCTCAGCATGCCAATTAACAAATACAGGCCAGTCTCCTCAGATAACACAAACATGATTTACGTCCCAATTAGAATTCACCACCCTCTAATCCTCTGGGACAGGGGACTTCGGTATTTCCTTTCCTACCTTCCCCCACCTTAACAAAAAGTTGAATAAGAAAGTATCAGGTCAGCCAGCTTTGAATACAATTCACTCTTTTGGTAGAGCATTCACTTTAACGGATGGATTTTTTTCCTTTTTTTTCTTTTTTTTTCTTTTTTGGAAGGCTGCATTCACACAAGATATTATGCTGAAGCACGAAGAATAGGATATGATGTGTCAACCTTTACTGTAACAGTAGTACATTTTTACTGCAGGAACTTCTGTGGGGTTTCTATTTTGATTTTACAAATAAAAATTTACTCTTCAGAAAAGCCATTTCATCCACTTTTACAAGCTATTTCCCCTCCTACTTTGCTTGGTGGAATCACTTTCATCCCTAACATGTGTAAACCTTTGTTGGCTTGAAGATTTGAAGCAGGTTGGTTTTGGAAATCAATCATTCAGCTGATAACGTCACATCACCCTAAGAATAAACACATTTTACATATACTGACAGCTCATTAGAAACTCCAGGCTTTGAATTGTCAACTTACTTGAGGAACATTCTTTCTGATTGTTTCAAGTGCTCAGCCAGAGAAGAGTACATTTACATCCCCACTCCTGGTCAGCTCCCTGCCAGCAGCAATTGTGTCACACAACCACTGGAATAAGGCAGGTGCTTTCACAACGCTGTATATGCTCGCTCTTTTGCAGCAAGCTGCTTCTCTGTGCAAGCACAGAAGCACTGAGACGAAATACTTTCTCATTTTAGATCATTTGATTTTTATAAACCAATAGAAGGCTATTAGTGTCAAAAATGTGTAATAGGCACATATTGCTTGCAGGTATGCGCATACAGGCAATTGGATGTCAAATAATGTCACCAAGTGCAAACTGAGCCAGAAAACTGCGAGGCTGAGAGATGATAATGCAAGCTGCACACTTGGTCTGGCTTCTGCTACAAGGAGAAAGGTGAGAGATTATACAAATTTATCTGTTCTCCCCTCCTGGTTTTCGAGAGCTAAATATAGGAGGGTTTTTTTTCCTTTTTTTTTTTTCCCTGAGTGCTGATATGAGGGAGTACAAATGGTAAAAGTATAAAGAAGATATTAAACTTGTTTTCATGATCCAGTCCTGAAAATGTGTGTCAGACTGCAAGTCATTCTGCATTAGGACACAATTCTGTTTGTCACATGTATGACTCCTTTGCTTGTCCTGTAGTCCATTTCTAAAACCCCTTATTTAAATGTGAGAGCCACTTCACTTCAATCCAGCTATGCACAGAACTCCCACTGTGGTACAGAACTGAGAATGGGGCATCATGAGAAGTATCAATGTTTCGGTGTTCTTAACCAGACAAAAATGAGACAGGCTGTTCACATACTGACTGGTCTTAGATCTGCAGACAGTAGGCTCTGTGAGGATTGGTTTTCTTTATTTAACTCTCACTAAAAATTGGTCAGTCTGTGAAGACGGACCCTTTCTTGCTCCCTAAATATAAAGTTACATTCCTTTTATGCTTACATTTTGATTTGCTTTCATCAAAGAATTGCTGCTGAACAAAATGAAGCTCAACTTTGAGCTTTATCATTGAATTCAACAATCAGTATGACATTTGTGACAGTCCTGGAAAGACTGGGTCTAAAGCAATAAAAATAAAAAGTTATCGAAGTTATTGAATTTGCCTGAATTCTTTGGAGAACAAAAATGCAGGATGCATTTGGTCATCAGGAAAATCATAATTCCCTATCAGCTCATGTCATGATTTCATATTTTTAATATAAACTATCATATAATTATACATAAAAACATTCTTATACAAATTATTTTTATTGAGTTTGTGTTCTGCAGTTTTGGTGTCGTACGAACTTTTCTTACTGTTTTACTTCAATTATTTCAGATGATTTATCACTGCAGCAACAAAATACTTGAAGGTACACTTTATATTGGGAATCAGGATGGGAATCTGATTCAAACCCCTGAACTTTAAACTTATATGACAAGTTCTACTTTACAATTTTTCTCTGATTTTGAACTTGGCTGATATCTTAGATGAAGAATACACTAGTAATGTTCACTACATATAAATCTGTTGAGTAATATATTAAATATTTATCTTCATGCCTTAGACGAGGTTGCAAAAGAAAATGTTTAGAACAAAATTATGAAAATTATATTATGAATAAATTACATAATAATAAATAACGATTTTCAGTTCCTATGTTTTTGAAATTTTTTCCCCCTCACTCCATACATTCAAACAGAAAGTACCTGTTATACTTCAAATTATTATTTTGAAAATTCAGCTGAAATAATAAATTCCGCTAAAATAATAAAAAAATGTCTACTGCCTTATCTGTGCTCCCATATTTGCTACTTTCAAATATCAATGTTACAGCAGCTTAAGTTGTCTTAAAAAATTAAGTATAGAGTCAATACACTCGCAGTCCAAATATAGAGGTCTGTCTCACTGGCATAAAGTACTGAACAGAACACTCACAACAGTAACTGTTGCATTTCATGGGATATGAAGCATATCTGTGATTTTGTGATAGAATATGGAAAATAAAACACAACTGGTACACTATTCTTATCATTTATACACACAAAATCAATTTTCTCACATAATTATTTGAGTATTAGTATGATTTTACAAGCATCTACATTCAGCATAATGAGTTTTTTTCCATCAGTCAGTATCTCATACCTGTGGTAACTTATTGCCATACACAGGCTCTTGCAATACTGCTCTATAAAGAAACAGAAATGTAATGATTTGAATGAGTAACGAAAGAAGGATGGAAAGATGTAAGGAAGGAATTTAGACAATTTCCCCAGAGCCGCTCATTACAATTTTCCTTTCAATGTTTTATACATCTCTGTGGCTCAGGCAAATTGAAAAAGAGCAGTGAGATCCGTCAAAGATCAGTAGCCAATTGTTACAGAGAAATCTTAAATTTAGAAAGTAATCGCAGAAATTTTAGATAATATACAATAAAATGGAAATGAACAGAAAATCAAATGCATCTGAATTATTAAATAAAGTCTGTATATCTGTAGCAAGAATAATTTCCACCAAAATGAGTTATACAAATGCACATCTATGGGTTACAAACCATGTATATGCGGGTGCACCTCCTCCTAAAATACTCAAATTTTTTTTTTATCTTGATCTCAGATGTACTGACAGCGTTTATTGTAGATACAGATAAACTAAGTGACTCTAAACGATAGGTATTTTTTCCGTTAGTTTTTCCTATTACTAACATATTTAAAATTCTATGTGAATGTCGAGAATTATTTTTCCTCAATTTTTACTTCCTATACTTCCTTTCACTCAAGGTTCTCAAAGTATTTTGTGAACATAAATGAATCAAGGTTCAAAATCTTATCTAGTATTGAGATTTATACCTGCCTTATTAGCTACAAATAGAGGAATGGGATTTAAAATGGCATGAGTTATACCCAGCCCTGCAGAATACAGAAGGCAATAGCAGTAATTTCCTCTTCCTCCACTCATACGATATTGAGGTTTAAATGGTATTTGTTCTGCTCAGAGAGTAAAACTTTGACTGGGAGAATTAAAACTAAAATATCCAGCACCTCTCTGTGCTGGCTCAACTTCTGGAACAAGCCTATGTAAAAGGTTCATGTCGTTTCTATGTTGTGTTCCCAGAGGGATCTGTTGCCTCAGAGAAGTTCTTGGTAATACAGTCAAACTGACGTGATCTGTGCTAATTCCAATCAAATACAATCACCAGGATTGACCTAGTAGTTTTTTGAATGTACTGTTTGTATCACAAATAAAGCTCAGAGAGATGAAAAGACATTTCATTACTAGATCTCAAAACTTTTTAAAAGGTATCATGGAGTGTCCCACCACATGGAGCCCTAGGAGGAACAACCCACTGCTCCTTCGGGACTCTTTTGCCCTTGTAAAAGTAATTTCTCCACTTCTCATTCTGTTTCTGTGAGTCACAGGAAATGGCACATCCTTCCATTTACACATACACACAAACCCCATTGGTACTTAATAGAAAGACTTCAGTGCTAACTGCAAATCCTTGCTTTTCACAGGAGAACAGTGCCTTTCAGGGTATCTGATTGCATCGATGGACTTCTACCTGGTATCAAGGGAATGCTGCTTACTTTTTCCTTGGGAAATCAAGATGTACTCCACCCTCGATACCATCCTACCTTTGAGCTCAAGGAATCTCATTCCATACCCCTGATCACAAAATTATGCCTTATTCATGATTGGCGGCTCAGAAAAAAATCTTAAACCTATGTACTTATATATTGTCGTGGACTTTCACCAGTTGCAGTATCACAGATCCAGAATCCTGAGAACAGGTTAGAAAAATCTCACTGTGACGGGTAAGACTGACGAATGTACACGCTTAAACCATATTACCAAGGGACTTCTGAAGCTGGTGATGACAGAGTTCGGAAGTTTCTCATATTTCTTAGCCTCCCCACGTTTTAGGTGTGGATTGAAGACTGACATGTTCTGAAAACATTCTTTATGACAATGGTAAAAAAAAAATAACAGACGTAAGATAAAGCAGAGCAACACTGTAGAGCTATCATTCTAACTGCGTATTTCTGTGTCTGTTGCTATTTTTGCTTCATTTTATGGAGTGTATTTTCTTATTCTCACATGTGTCGATCTTCATCTAGGAACTTCTATATTTGCTGGCAGGCAACCTTAATTCTCTTTTAATGACTTTTTCTCTTAGTGAATCAATACTTAATTTTAAAAGGTCTTCCTTACTTCCGAATCATCTCCTTTATTTTTCCTACTCAAAGGCACATTTAAAAAGGAATTCAATAGCCTAACTATTTCAGAAGCATTATTACGTTCCATATAGAACTATATGAAATATAGAATATATTACATCTAGAATCATGGCTGTTGATTTTTCATTTTAGACTGTACTTTCCACCAATTTTTATATTCCTATTGTCTTCTATTCCTCTGGTTAGTATTAAGCAGCTCTGACTATTTGCTGTTCTGGGTTCACCCTGCAGTTTTTACCCAACCGGTACCTTTCTGTGTCTTCCCTCCTTCCTTTCCACAAAATCTAGCTCTCAAAGGCTATATTGGTAGCTAGCTATGAAAAGATTAGCATGGTCCATATTACTGTTGGTACTCCGTGTAACCATATCAGAATGAAACCCATTCCGATATACTTGTTAATGCATATTTTTGGTCTGGCTTTTCAACACGGTGTTCCTTTTGTTTTGCTTTCTGTGGTATTTTTAAGAGTCCTTTCTCTCCAATCTACTATTAAAACCTATATTGTTAATTTTTTTTCTCCTTTTTTTTCACAAAGCATTTGTTCTTTCAAAAGCTTCAGCTCTGCACTTAAAATGAAAGGATAAGTAGAACTATGTCATAATCAATTGGGATTTAATAAATAACTCGGTCTGCTGCAAACTAATACACTAAGAGCTAATACACTGTGAATTGCAAGGTTTCTTTTGATTTATGTCAGTTCTCTCTCTCCCCCCCCCGCCCCCCCAAATGTTTTATATGCAAGAAAGAACAAATGTGAAGAAAAATGAATTATAAAATAAGAAGCTTTTTACATTATAAAAAAAAATCAAACAGATTTCCAGAAGAGTGTTTTAATTCTGTCAACTGCTGTAAAGGTAAACATTCTGCTGCATTAAGAGAACTAAGAAATGTAATCAGGAATACAAGGCTGCAACCGAGTGAAAACCAATGCCCCAGTATAGTTATTCCATTTTCTAATGCACGTGACTATTCCAGGCAACAAAACTGAGGCTAGACTAGAAATTAGTAATTTCTTCAATATGTTCCTCATTGAAATAACTTTCCATTTGGAAACAAAATGTTAAAGTCTGTGAGAAGGTGTGAGGCCACCTAAAAATAATATTGTCAATCAGCAAAAGAGATATTCCTGGTTTTCAGCAGCAGTGGGTTCCAAAACTATGAACTGTTACATTAACATTTAGTTCCCACCTATGCCATCACATCAAGCAATCCTGAGAAAGATGTCTTGTTGCATTTCAGATTTTTGGGTTGGTAAACTGAGCAAAATGGATGTCACATTCTTTTGACAGTTTGAAGAAATATGAAAATTGGAAACCACACGTGAAGAAATTCCACACTGTACCACGTATCCTATACAGCTCAAAAATTCAGCAGCAATGTGTTTAGGTGAGATTAGAGCAGCATACTACACTTGAGTAAGCTTTTGGCAAATGGGTGATTCTTACGTGTTGTAACAAGTTACTGATAGTATGTTACTGATAAAATCACTAAGTACCTAAGTACAGTAAGTACATAGCGAGAGAAAATTTTAATCCATTCTAATTTACTTTAAATATATTTTTAATCTACACAAATGAATTTTCAGGTAAGTATCAGCCTCTTTCTACCTCTATCAGAAAAACAAAACCATCCATAAATTCAAATTGTTTTCCTTCTTTATATAAAACTTATTAAAAAAAAAAATCTGTTCCCTTGGAAATAGTTCTAAAAGATTGCTGATAATGAAATACAAGGAATGTTTTCTAGCACTGCCTATTGAATTTTTAATACTCATACCAATTTCAGCTCATCCACCTCTTTGTACCTCAACAGAGGCAGTACAACAGAAATGAAACAGGTTAGAGAAAGCTGTCTGGTGAAACAAAGATGATGCCTGTACCTTAGGACCAGATTGCTTTATCAAAATAATAACAAATGTGAAAGATTCCTGAGTATCAGTAAAATATTTCACATCTACACATAGGATATAAGAATTAATTATTTTGGAAGAGTGAAATTCAGCCTCAACCACCTGAAACCTCTTGCACACTCAGACATAAGTAGCCTCTTTGTATACATTCAAGGTAAAAACTTCAATATTGGTAAGAAACTTAAAAAAATATTATTTAAAAGGAAATTGCTGACCAATGAGGTGAAGTACGTAATGATGGATCCAGGGCTATAAATCCTTACTAACAAATATAACGATGGTCTCTACCCATTTCATTTAAATTGAAATAAGTCGATTTCTAAAAGAGCAGATGGAAGTCTGCTCAGATTACAGACAATACATAGCCATATCACAAACTTACTATGTAATTGAACTCTACTATCACCATGGCACTTACGCATACCCAGTGTTGCCTGGATTTGGGAAATCTGTATCTCTCCATAAAGTATTTCCATACTCCAGGTATTAATAATACTCAGCTTGCCTTGATCTTTAAAAACGAGCTTTTGGAGATTTGCAAAAGAACGTTTCTGCTTTGTTTTTATTTTTTCTTTGAACTTCAATTTTGTGGAGATGCCCCTCCACACATGCACACACGTTTTTCACATTTTTTTGCATTCATTCAGCATTTGATTGAAGAGTTAATTCAGCTCCACTGAACAATGATAGATGTAATGAACAGAAAGGTCTTCCAATGTGAGAGATATTCTTCTCAATTCTTTCTGACAGGCAAGGGATGGTAAATAGACAAAACAGAGTCAAGCTAGGCAGCAAACTTGTAAAAAGAATGACTCTGGTAATGTACAAGGACAGCATGCACATCAATGAATACTTACATAAATGTCTGCACCATAAAATCCATCCTGGTATACAACACTGCAAGGATGCACACACAAAGAAAAACATCCATATTAGTGCATTTCCACATGCAAATGCCACCAACCCCTGCACAGCTGAGGTTAGTCTTGTCACAAGAACAGAGGGAGGGGGGAAGGAAGGCACTCTTCACATTGGTTAAGGAGGTTGGTAGTAATTATCAGAAGTGAAACTGTACCAAATACATCTTATAAAGTATGCCAAGTGCTTAGTCAAAGAAAGGCAAAGCACGGCAGGATTGGAAACTAGTTTTCATAAGGTTTTGAGTGGTTTTTGGTTTTGTTTTTTAAGAAACAACATATTGGCAGCATTTTTTCTATAAAAACTTTCAGTGGGCCAATCCTAAAGTCAGTTTTAATACATTAGCAAAATGCTATCACTTGAACTACTACTTTCTTGTCCTGCAGTTATATCAATACCTCTGAAACAAAGCAGTAGTTGTCATTACTTAGATGGAAAACAAAAGGCAGCATAAGTTTATATGGTGAGAGGAATGTGTGAAATAATTATGCTGGTGGTATTCTACCCATTGGGTCAAAGCTCAATACCTCAATGTACACAGACATGAGAGTATTCATAGGCACTCCATTGTTAGCTTGATACACATTTTCAGTAGTGACAACAGGTCTCTTAAGAATGTCATGGCGTTATTGTTATAAAAAAACGTATTAATCTTCCTCACTTTATCATTTTACAACTTTGGCGAATATGCCAATGGTCCTGAGCTTCCCTGCAGTTTTGGTCGGATACACTACTACTACTTATCCAAAAAAATGTGGTATTGTTATATTGCTGTTAACAGTTTACTCAGAGACTGCTGCATTTCAGCTAAGCTAAATCATCAGTGTAAATAGTTCAAATTTTAGATTATAAACCCTTCAGGAAAATGACACAGTATGACAAAGATGGTTTAAATGATTACACTAAATAAAAGTGGAACTACACAACAGTGGCCTATCAATTACACACATTACGTAAGTCCTGCATTTTTACATTCATTTGGCAGTTCTGCAACTTAAAATGTGTATTTCCAATATCAGAATCAACCCAAGCTGTTTCAAGAGCTAAATATGAGAGCACACAATAGGTTTTTTGCAACAATATTTTCAATTTAGGAATACTATTATCTAGGAATAATAGTTATTACCAAGTTGCTAGCCTAAGTTGTTTTGCAATTCCAAGAAGATTTTTCATGTCAGAAATATAACTGATCTATTGAGGTCAATGACCAAAACCCATAGGGCTTAGCTAGTATGTGTCTAAGTCAGAATCACTTGAGAAAATCATAAATATGCATACATGCACACAAACCATGTTGATAAAAACACATTGATGATAAAAGTTTGCTATGGAATAATAATGTGGGAAAACTTGGCTCCACTTAAATCTTAGCGTCTGCCATTTACTTCAGTAAGGTCAGACCTTTATTCATGCATTTTCTATTTATGATGTCTGCAGAGCAAAATATGCCAAACCTGGTCTACATTGGTACCTTTCAGAGAGCTTGCTATTTACATTGCAGTGTACCTTTGTTCTGGTATTGATATTCTGATTATTTTACAACATTACGTGTTTTTCTTATACCTCTTTGCATGTAAGAAATAAAACAGTCCATATGAATGTGAGCTAGAAGCACACAATCGTGCACAACATGGCAGGAGATGATATACAAATGATACAATGTTTGCTGAAGATGGAGGCCCCACAGCCACAACCCTCAGCTCCTCATATCCCTGTGCCGCTCATGCTGGGAGGAGGTGGAGGAGTTGGGAATGAAGGAGTGAAGGTCAGCCTGGGAAGGAGGGGCGGGGAGGGGGGGAAGGTGTTTTAGGTTCTGTCTTTGTTTCTAACCATCCAACTGAATTATAATAGGTAATAAATTAAATTAATTTTCAAGTCAAGTCTGTCTTGCCCATGATGGTAATTGGCAAGCAATCTCTCCGTCTTTATCTCAACCCAAGAGCTTTTCCATCTTACTTTCTCCCCCTATAACTCTTGAGGAGGGGGAATGAGAGTGCAGCTGGGTGAGGGTCTGGCAGCCAGCCAAGGTCAACCCACCACAGTATAAGTTAAAACATACTACTTTCTACTAATATTAAACATTGCTATTCAGAAAAAAATGCTTTTGTGAGAATATATGCCAGAAAGAGGACCTTTTTTCTTCCTCCTCTTGGTGATCTGTGCATATACAGTGAAGATGTCGCAAGATGAATAGGGGCTGATTTGTTTTTAATTCCCAAATGCAGCTGGTTGTAATCTTGGATAGGTTACTGTATTCACTTAGGCCTTCGTTTTACAGATACTGCTCAGTCATGTACAGACAGGAACTTATTTTGAATTCTAAATATGCAACTGCTTGATAAATATTATACCAAAGGAAGTACCCAACACTAAAATGAGACAGGAATGCATAATTCCATCATTAAACGTGGTTAGTATTAAGGCAAAGTAAACAGAATCAGGCAAATGACTGTAACACTCCCAAGCAGGACATGCACTATGAAAAGATATCAGCTAATTTTATCTTATTTCCACCACATGGTCTTGTAGTATGATAGTGATCTTAAATATAAAACATTCTGCTTCTTTTGAAGTTTTAAGAAAAGTAATTCTTCACACTTTTATAGATTTTTTTCAGAGAATATTTTCTCTATTCACTGTCCTTGTCACTTGTTGACTCCTGTTACTGAATCTTACCATTGGAGTCAAATGTATTTTCTAACAGCACCCTTCATGAGAAGGAGAAAGTGTAAAACACCAAGAGCTATGTTTTGCTCGTGTGCTTTTCTTTCCTTCAGTACATAATTTTCCAAAGGGTAATTTGCTTGGTTTATCATCCTCTTTTCTCTCTCTGAAGCTGTAGGCAAAGAATAGATGATAAGTCTCAAGCATGGGAAGAGACTGAATGCATCACACGGGGACCCACCTCACCACAGCTTCTTTTACACTTTATCTTCAAAAAATTGTCTTGGCAGACAGGCAAATCTTGAGTACCCTGTAAACCAACACAGGGTCTGGAAATAGCCACGTTACTGAAACATGAATTACTTCACCCAAGAGTGGATGATATGTTAATGCGCTACCTGGAGGCATTAAAATATGAACAACAAATTTGGGGGATTTATTCAGTTGTATTTTATGATTTTATTCTGCTAAGGAAACCTCAGAGAAGAGAGAAATCTTGATTTAATACGAAAACATGCATCTAAATAACATTATATGTGGCAATCATTTTCTCAAATGATTTTTCTATAAATATGAAACTGTTTTCTCACCAACTATTACACATCTGTTTTGCATGGTTTTAGTGCTTTATTTTAGTCTCTGTGTCTTATAATCATTTTTTGTAACTATATTAAGACAAACTCTTTACTAGTTTAGATTCCACCTTTATAATATCCTGGGAGGACTACATCTGTCTTCATTATCATTTTTCTATCCTCATCTTTCAAAAGGATTGGGTTGAATAATCTATCAATGACATAAGAAGACAGTTGACTGCACAAACCTTAGTTCAGTAACTTCATAGCAGCTGAGCATATATGGCCCTCAGCCATACACACAATCTGCACAAGTTAACATAAATAACGTAAGGCAGATGAAGTGCATGGAGTGATTGATTCAGCATAACAAACGGGCATTGCAATCGTGATTTCATTCATTGCAGTAGGAATCATGGTTACAGTTTCCTATTTCCCCTCCATCACAACTAAGAGAAAGCACCTGAGGAACAAAAGTTCTCTGTTTTCTGATTGCTGGTAGGGCCGCCTTCACTGTCCAAGACATATTTTCCATTTTTCACCTTAGAAATCACCTTTTATATGAAGACCTCATGAAACAAATAATAGAAAAGGTGCAACTACAACCTTATTTAAAATAAAGAAAAGACTGGGAATTAAAGTAACACCTTTCAACACTCTAATAACACAACTTTCACTGTTGTAAATACAAAACTGAAATTCTTGTATGAGGCTGTTACAACTTTTTAGAATGTTCTCTAATAATTCCAGGTTCTTGTCTTTCCAGTTTCAACATTTTCTGCCACTAACAAGTTATATTAGCTTCTCTGGAAAATTAATTGAGGGCATTGCTGCAGAGAACAAAGCTGGAAGACATAAATCACTATGCGCTGGCAAAACACATTTTTTGTTCTAACAATTGCACATATATATAAAGCACAGAGTCCAAAGTAAGAGGAAGTTTCTGTGAGCCCAAAGAAATGTATTGGAAAAAAACATAACCACTTTGGTAGATGTAGTAGCTTATATTAATTATCCTTCCTTCGTAAATTCAGAAAAAGGTGTTGGAAAATAAAGCTTCTTTCTCATTTTGAATCAGTTAGAATGTAGCACTTCAAAACAATTATTTTAACAAAGGGGAACAGTTTCTGAACAGTCTGTTACTTCTCCACCCTCCCCAACTTCACAATTTTATTTAGGGTTGGGGTTTTTTTATTATTCTTCTTTTCAAAGAGAAAAAAAGCATATTGCTATCCCCTGTTTTCCCAGGGAAGACACTAGAAGGGGAGATACGGACTGAAACCTAATTCTCTGTCAGCTTCATCAGAACCAGAAGGAGCAGAGGGGAAACGTGAAGACAAAGTCACCACACACTAAACTTGTGAAGAACTTGAGGCAAATGATGCTGGAATAGAAGGGCTTCTCATTAGTTTTACTAATAGCACTATCTGCTACTAATATCTGCTAGACTACCAGATATACAGCAACATTAGCTTTTGTTGACCATAGTATAAAGATAGAGCATCACATTCATGATGTTTTACTATTTGGCAAATGATTTTCAAGAATGCTGGGGTACTAGTTGCTGCACAGTTCAAAAGCAATTGCAAGTATCAAAATCAAATCACCTGCTTTTTGTAGTTTGCCAAAGGGAACAAAAACTGCTTCTTTATCCTTTCTTTTGGCAATATAAGTACTGCCAACTGCATCCAAAATCTTTCACAAGAGTACCTTTACTAGGAGTTTCAGCTTTATTAGGACATTTCTTACATCATCAGTAGGCACTTTGTCAATAAAATAGATAATCCTAGAAAGACACAGCTCAAGCCAAGAAGACATTGTTTTTTACACTGATGTCTTTTTATATATAGATATAATTTTAAAATTATTCTGTACAAAACACTACCTAGTATCCAGAGAGAAGCCTGCAAGAAAGGTCATAGAAGCATGGAAGCTGTCCCAAGAAAGAAGATATGAAAGGAATTTAGTCAGCTTAAAATAGTAACTGCTTCGCTCCTCAACCAAGTCACCAATCTTGCTGTGGAGTTCCGGGGGATAAGCAGGCCATAGCTCATAGCTCCACAGCTACATCCTCTCTTACTGAGAGGCTCTCATCTCCATGCACCTCTCATGCCATACACAACATGACCATCTCTTGCTTCTCTTCCTCCTGCAGCATAGTGTTGAAGCTGAGCTCTCCATGCAATGTAGATCTCCAAACTCTTTCATTTTCTGCATTCAGTTTTCTCACACAAATGAAACTTTACCCCCTAATTTCAGTTTCAGTAGGTTTTTATGGTACATAAAGAAATTATACATATGAAGTTATGAGTAAACTGCACATTGTAGTATTTCAAGGCATTAGAAATGATGCCACAGGTGCTAAAGACAACGTATGTTCCATGAGCTAATAAACAAGACACTACCTCAAGGAATTAGTGAAATGCCTCACTCACAAGTAAAGGAGCCATTAATTATTTATGTAGTGCTACGTACCTCATGAACACTGATTTCATTTTTAAATGACACATTTTAAAGCATGTGTGCTGTTCTTTGATTTATAAGAAAACAATGTCCTTAAATATGGCTACAATCAACAATTTTCCTCAAACCTAGCAAAGTCTGCCATAGTTGCTGTTTCCCAGCAACGATGGGGCACAGCAGAAGAGAGCTTTCCACATGAATCACACTAATTTGTTTTGCCTAATGACCACAAGATCTTCTAGATTTCCTTACAGCCTGGGACTCATTGCCATTTCTTAACTTTGTTGATAAACAGTTTCTAAGAAAAGGTCACAGTCATTATCCAACAGGATACCAGCAAACAGGAACAACAGATTTAAGGGACACTGAACAGAAAGGTGGCTTTTGTTACAGAGCAGGGATTCCTGAGACAGGCTGCTGAGATAAACACTAAAAGCAGCATGTCAGACTAGTCTAAGAAATACATGTTCTCAGCTTTACAGTTGATTTCCAAATTTAAAGCAAAATGACTCAGTTTCAGTTCCAAAACTTTGTAATATAAACAAGTAAGTGTGAAGAAGATTATTTCAGATCACATATTATATTTTATTTCAGTAATAGGCTTTCTAAGGTTAATGAAATAAAAGGAAATTAAAAAGGTAATTTCAAACTTCAGTTTTATATTTTAAACTTACATGTGGGTTCCTTTTTAAAAGGAAAAGTAATGTTTTTCTAACTAAACATTGCTGGAATTTAATGTAAATTTATAATTCAAATTATATCTGTCATTATACAAACTAAATGTGGGGGCTTTTTGATGATTGAAAATATTTTAGTATGAAACTGCTTGGCTCTAAGGCTGGCCTCCTTCATTGAGTGAAAAATGAGAAATTGCTACCAAATGATTTGCAAATTAGCCTTCAAAGCTTTTTCCATTTTTCTTATCAGCAAATCATATTCCAAGTTGTTTGCTTCCTTCTGTAAGTTGATTCATTCTCTGTGATCTCTTTATTATCTCTGTAATTTTCCATGACTCCTACTCCCATTGTGACTGAAACCCACATTCTTATATTTTATTTTCATTAAGGATTTTTTCTGATGAAGATTGCTGTTTGCTTCTTTGATAGGTCAGTGTACATAATGAGTGAGCACAGAACAAAGCATTGCAAAGAAATTCCAAATTGTATTATTGTATCAATGAAGTTACTAGCACAAGATCTAATACACTAGACCAAAGAAATTATTTCAGAATAAAGCTTTATTAATCCAACTGTGGATCAGTGCAACAGAGGTATGTATTATTTCTGCACTGATCCATGAATTACAAAATTTGGAAATTTGTTTTGCGCATTGGAAAGCAGTGCCTTATTAGAGAGCATAGGTGGATGGAGAAAATTAAACCTGACTAGTATCTGAACTAAGACCTATCTAAATTAAGACAAAGCTTACAAACTGAAAACTTTTGCAGAGTCAGATTGTGTCAGAAAACATACTGACTGGCAGGGTGAGCCCTAGATGACCAGGGGTTCATCTCAGACAGCTGGAAGTCATCAGATGATCATCGAGAAGATCTCATCATCAATGAGAAGATGTGACTTAATGACGCAATGCATGGTTCCCTCTGAAGTCAGTTTTAAGGACAGGTCATGAAGGTAATAGGTGAGATCTGTCCAATCTAACTGTCAAACTACCCTGCAGAAGAATGTAAGAGTGCTCAGCTGACCTCTTGGAACCCAGTTCCGAAACACTGCTGAGCCTGACTGCAGTGCAAAACTTCCATATTAACTTACAACAGGAGTTCACAACACTTCTACATCTAATTTGCTGCCTAAAGATGCTGAAAGTAAGCAGTACAATTACATAAGAATATATATGTATTACACTAGGAAATTTAATTCTTGAGTCACTGTAGTAACTAAACTAGAAAAAAATTATATAACGCACACATACACACACAGAGGACCCACATGTGGCCCCTTAAATTAAAGCAAATCTAAGTTACTTACTGGTCTGAAAGTATTTACTCATTTTGCAAATACTAACAAAAAAGTATTGTCAGTTCAAAAACTGTATCACACATAGCTGGTATATATTTTCTTATATGACTTTATATTAAACTAAGGTATTATGTTTGTGACACCATGAAGCTGGTCGCAACCCATGTCGTTTCTTGGCTACATACTGCACTCTATGTTTAAATTCAAGAATTTCTTTTAAAACTAAGTGAAGATGGAAAGAGTCCACTTTCTTTATATGCAGTATCCATGTCATGGCTGAGATATTCAGATTGAAATCAGCTCTTGTAGGGCTTTCTAAACTTGTTCCCATCATTGCCATGTACAAATACCTGGACTAACTCTAAATGAGAACCTGGGCAACAGTAGGTTAGCTTTGGTGGGACACCATCCTTGTCCAAAGGTAACTCAGGCAATCTTCAAAAATCCTTATGTCTTCCTCCAGGAGTGGTAATACAATTTTGCTTATTAAATTAATATTATTTTGCTTATTAAACTACACAAAACACTTAAATTAAAAAATAGAATCCACTTTGACAAAATAACCTGATTCTGGGGCATCATTTTTATATCCATTTTTAGAACATCTTATTTCTCTGAGGTGATAACTGCCGGATGTGAAGGAATGGTCAAAGTGCCCATCTTAAATATGCCTGAAAATTTAGCTCAATGGCTGACTGACTGGATTAGCAAACTTGTCTCGAAAAAGATATGCCTTTTGGCTTAATAGAACAAAGGCTTCATGAGAAACCCAGGGAACTAGTGAAGAGCACCCATCTTCTACCGTAACGAAGTAGGAAGACAGGGTCTTGTGCTGCAAGCTCCCTTACAAGGGGATATCCACCGTGAGAGCAGATGAGCTGCTGAACAGGATTTTAGTGAGGGCAGGGGGAGAGAGAGAGATCACCTTCACTCAAAGACTTTGCAAACCCTTCCTGACTCTTCCTCAGAAAGATCTGGTTGCTCTACCGAGAGGCACTGACATATCTACTTCAAGTTTTTATGACAAAATACTATTCTGGCCTGGGATCTGCTAAGTTTTCTGATTTTCCAAACTTCCCAATTTCTTAAAGTTGAAAAATCTTTTGACAATGTTAGGGCTTTTAAATATCATATGCAGCACAACCACAAAACCTTTCTGTGTCAGCATTTACAGAGCTACAGAAGAATTTGTTTCTTCCTTCTTTCCCTCAAAAATACACCTAAAAAAATTATCTTCTGAAATAATAGAAGATTATTGAGTTTCTAGAAATTATTACTATGAATTTCTCTCCTTTGTTTCTTAGTTTAGTACTTGGTTTTGGTAAACGTAGGTCACTGATAGTGAAATCTTAAGGTATTACTTAAGCAAATGTACTGAAAAACACATGGCCCTGAGAGATGCACCTCAGATTCTTTTGTGGTAAAGATGTCAACTAGAAAAACTAAACAAACTGCAATAAAATTAAAAGTAATAATTAAAAAAAAAAAGAGACCACCACTAAGCCTCAGGTCCAGAGACAACTTTCAGTGGATGATTTGAATAAAAAGAAGTTAACTTGATCCAACCTCCTTAATAACCAGATGTTTGCAATCATCAAAGATACATCTTTAGCTGAAAGAATTTCTCTGTTCCAAAGCATTCAGTTTCTGAAAGCATTTACATAACAATATGTGACATCTGAAATGCTGAAGGCCACCAACCATGGCAGTACAAATTACAGTCATTTTTCAATACTCTGTGCAAGGTGCACCACTTCCAGCACTGGGCTCGGTTGCATGCTGCGTTGGTTTCTGCGGTGAGACACAATCAGTATGCACCACACTCACAAGTAGTTTGTAGCCTTTGGAAATTCATGCTAATAGGTAAAAGAAGCTGATCTCCTTACCCGCCGTAGGCTGGAATTGGAGGAGGGGGGGCTGCTGCTCGAAACGTGTTGTACACCGTGCGACCTCGGCCTCTTAGATGTGCACCTCTGTAAGCAGCAGCTGCAGTTGCAGCAGGGTAGGGAAATCCTGGCACTGTGAAGAAAAAAAGAGGAATGAATATAAAACATTCAGAACAATCCAGCATTTTTAAACATGGGCAATGTAGCAGGATGTTTGTGCTTGTATTAAAGCTTGCCTATAACTGGATGGGGGAGTCGCCAAACAAGTAAAATATTAGTCTTTTAACCAGAGACCTCATCTTTTTACACAGAATCTTTGTATGCAAACAGGAGACAGCAAACTGGGAATTTAGATGGCAGTATCATAGGTAGCTCTGATTTTCTTGGAAGACACTATTAAAAATAATGTTGACTATTTTAGCCAACACTGCTACCAGGAAACTCTTGAGGTCCAAGTCACCCAGTTCAGGTTCAAATTTATAATGCCAGAGACATTTCCATCACATTATTGGATCTATCTTCAACAGTCAGCCCTGCTTTGAGTGGAGGTGAGACATAAGACTAGGTGACCTCCAGTGATCTAAATTATCCAGTGATTTTACCAATTGAACAGAGCTCTGCTTTTGTGCAAAAGTTGGTTATTAACTGGGTGTTAATGATGTACCAAGGGAAAGACAGACAGAGCCAGTTTTCTTAGATTTTCGGGATGTACCTTGCTCATAACAGCACCTATTATTCCTTCAAAGGCAAGAGTTGCATAGTTTGGAAACATCTATCTGAATTCAGATAATAATCAGACCCAATAGAAACAATTTAGAAGTGTAACAAAGATATTAACTCAGACCTTTTTATATTGTCATTGCAACGAAGTGTAAACATTAATTACCGTTCCACGTGAGACTTAAAACATTTTAATCAGAAACTGAACAGTAATACAGTACTACTTAGAGGGTTTTTTCTGTAAAATGTCTATAAAATTTCTCTCTTCATAAACTTTTTAATTGAAAAATAAATAAAAAAAAACTTTCCACTTTACTTTCTCTGACAGTTTTTTGACCAATACTTCATTACTTCATTTCTCCTTTCTATATATATTACTGTTATTGCCAATGTTATAACAGATATTTTTGGAATTAATTTAGTGAGACAGAGAAAATCAAATCCAGCTCTGTTGGCACTCAGGTTACTTCAGTTGTGCTTCACTGTGTTGAATTTTTTTCAGTATGTAAATAAAGAGATAAAAGAAATAAATCTTGCTTAGCAAAGCCCTCATAAGAAGCCAGCAAATGGAAGTAATGATGTATAAAACAGTAAGCAAATCTGAAATACGAATTGATTTCAATCCACATTTGTCTTTCATCTGTTTTAGCATTAATTTTTAAAAGAAGCCTTGAATTTGAAAAAGAAAAATCCAAAACTTGCAGATGTTGCTGGCTGAACATATGAAGGAAAATACTGTAATTATGGTGACTTTTCTGTTATTTTGGGCTTTGCTAGGTCCTTCTCACTGACAAAAAAAGGTTATACAGTAATTCTGCAAAGATTTACATGTCTGTGATACAACGTAAAACAACCTTATAGCAATACAAACAAATTAAAAGTCTTTTAAAAAGTGCTAAGGCTGTATTTTTATTCCTTTTTCTGTAAAAAGAATCTGTGTCAAAATCAGAATTATGAACTTACAGAACTCGATATACTGTTGATAACTTTGCAATCAACTGCATTTAAGAAGCCTTAAAGAAAGAGAGTCACAGAAAGCATTTTTGGGGAAAAAAATGAACATATATATGTATATCATATACTTGAAATTCAGATCTTGTAAGTACTTTTGCATATGCCACAACATTGAATATTGAACAGTATAGATACAGTAGTGCTAGAATCATGACCTACTGCTCAAACCATGTAACTTTTGTCCTTTTCCTTTCCAAGTAAACAGTCTTGCATACAAATGAGTACAATGTGCATATGAAAATGTAACAGATGATTTTCAGTGGACTGAAGGTATAAGCGAACATAGTAAAAAGATCCACTGGTTGTGCTGTAGCTCCTCTGATAGAGTGGACTGTCTCCCCATACTAACAGATAACTAAAAAGTGCAATGCTCTAATAAACTTTCATAGATGGAAGTCTGCGATACATGAGAAAAAACGTGAGGGTTGGACATCATGGTGTCATTGTTCACTTGTGTCCCTTAGAGAACGTATTTGTGAATGCCACATGCTGGAGACTTCCTGTCTTGGCCTAAACTCAGTGACGTGCAAAACATACGTTTTAAATAGTCACTTATCACAACTATAATCACGTCTGTTACTTCTGTAAGAGAAACAATGAAGTGGACTAGTACTCTTCAGCACGGAAAGGAAGTGACTGTGGGAGCTATGACAAAGCTCCACAACTGTGAATAATGGAGAAAATATGGGAAAAGGTGGTTCTTCACACAACCTCTAGTTAAGCCACCATGGAACTTTCTGCCACTGGATACTATGGATGTTAAAATTTTAAAAGTTTATATGATTGAAAAGGATGAACAAACAGTTTCCTTGCAGTGAAACAGTACAAAGACATCACCTCTGGTTTACAGAAACACTCCAAATTGTAGAAAGCTAACAGAATGTTCAAAGAACTATATACCTACGCACTAGTTCCAGTCCTGCAACTTTTCTTTAGGCATCCATCTTTTGCTCCTTTCCAAATACAGGGTACCGGACTAGATGGAGAACTAATCTAATCTAATCTAGTACCATTATCTTTGTTATAAGAGTAATGTTTGGCTGCAGTCTGTCTGCTTTAGAAAAAGGACTCATTTCCACCTAGTAGATGGTCATTTTCTAGGAGTAAGTTTCTCCAATAATTTGAGAGTTAATTTGTGCCTTCTTTTTAAATCATGCAAATAAATAAATAAAAAGAAACAAACCCAACAAAACGGTGCTGAGAAGAGTTAGTTTAAGCAAATGGGGAAAAATGGACTTGAGAGTCTGGCCAGGAAAAACTGATACCTGAATTGGTGGATTAATCTGAATGTTGTTATTCTGTAGCTAGCTTTAAAAAATTGTAGTCTTTAGGGACACTCTTAAACTGCCAAGATTAAGAGAAATTTCTCTGACCTAAAAGCCACTGACAAAAAAATCATGAAGTCTGACAACTTTTGAGCAGTTTGGACAACTTCTTCACTTACATGTGCATCTGTAGTTCTCCACATATTGATAGAAAACACACTTTCACAAGAAAAACAGAACCAGTGGTAAAGAAAACCAAACCAATTCAAAAAATCTAAGCTCAAGCAATGTAAGATATCTAACATTGTTGGGGCCTTGTGACATGTGGTCTGGAAACTCCTGCTTTAAGATCTGTTTCAGCAATTAATTCTTTGTAATGAACACCTATGTCTGGCAACATTTAAAGCAGTTGTCATCTTCCAGTGAAACACTCAGGGTCCTAGACAATCTTTCTGCTGTAAAATGTACTGTTTGAGATTAACTCACCAATTCCTCCATACAGCCAAACAGCTTATACACATGTGAAGAAAGGACTTATCTCTTGATTTTCAGAAGAAATGAGTAAACATAGGTCTAATGAAAATCAACTGGAATTGTGCAGAAATTGTACGGGAGACACTGAGGATTGAACAGTATAGATACAGTAGTGCTAGAATCATGACCTACTGCTCAAACCATGTAACTTTTGTCCTTTTCCTTTCCAAGTAAACAGTCTTGCATACAAATGAGTATGTGACACGAACTCCTAATGTGGTTTGTGAGCATTTTCTTCCTTTGAATTGTACCATTCAACCCAGGTTGCACACAGACATATTAAAATATATATTTTGCAATAATTGAGCATTTATCCTAAATACTCTGTTCTTCATGGTGGTCACACCTTTGGAAAGAATTACAAGAAGGGCCACTGACCTTAAATCTTTGACAGTGAATTGTTCTCTAGAAGAAATGTCATTGGAAAAGCAGAGTGCTCCCATCAATGAAGGATGTAAAAAGAACATAATATATTTAAAAAAATTAATATAACATTTTTGTAATAAAGAAAGCTTTCTCTTATGAAAGAGGAGAAAAAAGCTAGAAGATAGAGATAGCAGGAAAAGTCACTTAGCCCATAAATGTTTACCAAATCCAGAACCCATAACGGAGGCTCAGCATTCATGGGAGATGCTAAGACAAGACAGTGATTTTCTACCGTTTTCAAAAGATCTGCAGCACAAAGGATGCGCTAGAATGGAAAGCCTGAAATAATGTAATTGTTGTGCTATGCTTGCCTCACACTGTCTCCTTAATCAAATCGTGAAGCATAAAATGTCTAGACTAAAGCAAAACTCTAAAGAAGCTTGTAGAAGCAATTAGTAGAAGGTACAGCAATGATTTGGAATTCTATCAGGAAGAGGATAAGACATGATGGAAACTAAGCCTGAGAAATGTAGAACTAAGAGTGGCATCGCAAGGTCTTATGATCAAGTCAGGTCTAACAGTAGACTTCATATAAAACAGAATTATATCCATCCCCAAAAATGTATTTGGGTCAGCTCTGAAAATCAGAGTATCTGAAAACATGCTTTCTATTTCCAGGTAGTTATATTAAATATTAAGATTAGAGGTAAAATAATCAACAAGATCATGTCACCCTAGACTTACGTTCAGAAAAAAAAAATAAATAAAAAAAAAATTATGCTACTTCAGCCCAGCTAAGAAATCAGATGGTTAGGAATATGTAATAACCACAGAATTTATTTTGCTACCAACTTTTTAATATCCTCACCCCAAAAATAACCAGCAGAAGTGGCACCATTAGAACACAACTGAAGAATGAACTTCATAAAAACAATTTTATGAAAAAGGCTCTCCCATCAGGAATCATTAAGTGCTATTAACCAGCCCCAAAAGTAATGAATATACTAGCCAGGAGGGGTAAAGATTTTAATGACTTACAGTTTGTAGGTCAACCTTCCTTAGTGCCTCAGTGCCAAACTGCTGAAATTCAGTCAGTGAAAATGCTATTATAATGGAGTTGAAAATGTGTTTGACTCTCAGCAGGGAAGCATCTGAGTCCACTTCTAAGCAAAAGTACCTTAAATTTATCAAAGTAATTTGATGACTGGAATTCTTGTGATGCGTGATAGAGAAA